GGCTTACCACCAAAGCAGCTTAAGTTTAGCATACCGCATAAACCCAAAGCACCCAGTCGCGAGTGCAGCCACAGCTAACGTTAGCAGCGAATATGTTAGCAATTTAGCGAGCCATAGCAAAGCTCTTTTCCAAAATAAAGTCGAGCAGAACCCCCCGCGTATGAGCAAGTCTGCGACTGACAGGCCGGCGAATGTTCTAGCCAAGTGGATAGTGATGGACTGCAGGCCAATAAACATAGTGGAAGACTATGGGTTAATAGAGGTGTTGGGAACAGCGTCCAATGATTCATCATACAAGCCACCATGCAGGACTACAGTGATGGCCAAAATCAGAAAGATGTACAGCGGCAAAAAGAAAACCAAACTTGAGAAAAGAACAGCAATATTCCCTCCATGGTGGACGTAACTAAAGTTGCAGGCAGCACTTGAGACTAGTCTCAAATAGAGTGGAACGTAAATGGCTACGACTGCATCTGTTTAAATCTGTTAAAAACAATAAATTACTTTATAAAGCTATTTTTGTTATATATATCAATCTTTTGATCTGCCACAATAATGTCTTTTTCTTTTTCTTTCCGCTTTGTCCCTTTTTTTTTTCAGGGGTTGCCACAGCAAATCATTGATTTCCATCTCTCCCTGTTCTCTGTATCTTCTACTCTGACTCCAACTATCTGCATGTCCTCCCTCACTACATCCATATATCTCCTCTTTGGCCTTCCTCTCTTTCTCCTACCTGGTAGCTCCATCTCTAACATTCTTCTACCAATGTATGCACTGTCCCTCCTCTGCACATGTCCAAACCATCTCAATCTGTCTCCTCTAGCTTTTTCTCCAAACCTTCCTGTCTGTGTTGTCCCTCTAATGACCTCATTCCTGATCCTGTCCATACATCATGGCTGGTCTCACCACCGTCCTGTAAACCTTTCCCTTCACCTTAGCTGACACTCTTCTGTCACAGATCACTCCTGACACTTTTCTCCAGCTGTTCCATCCTGCCTGTACTCTATTCTTCACCTCTCTTCCACAGTCTCCTCTGCTCTGAACAGTTGATCCTAAGTACCTAAACTCCTGCACCTTCACCACCTCTGCTCCTTGTAGCCTATTCACTATTTCACTGTTCTGCCTTTGGTTTACACACACGTACTCTGTCTTGCTACGACTGACCATCATTCCTCTTCTTTCTAGTGCAAACCTCCACCTCTCTAGGTTCTCTTCTAGCTGCTGCCTACTCTCACTACAGATCACAATGTCATCTGCAAACATCATAGTCCATGGGGACTCCTGTCTGACCTCATCTGTCAATCTGTCCATCACCACAGCAAACAAGAAGGGACTTAGGGCCGATCCTTGATGTAGTCCCACCTCCACCTTGAAGTCTTCTGTCCTCCCAACAGCGCACCTCACTACTGTTGTACTATTCTCATACATGTCATCTGCAAACAGCGTAGTCAATGGGGACTCCTGTCTGACCTCATCTGTCAATCTGTCCATCAGAACAGCAAACAAGAAGGGGGCTTGGGCCGATCCTTGATGTAGTCCCACCTCCACCTTGAAGTCTTCTGTCCTCCCAACAGCGCACCTCACTACTGTTGTACTATTCTCATACATGTCCTGCACCAAACTAACATACTTCTCTGCCACTCCTGACTTCCTCATACAAAACCACAATTCCTCCCTTGGCACTTTGTCATATGCCTTTTCTAAATCTACAAATACACAATGTAGCTCCTTCTGACCTTCCCTGTACTTCTCCATCAGCATCCTCAAGGCAAATATTGCATCTGTGGTACTCTTCCTAGGCAT